CATCCTTATCCACTATGTGGCAGGTATCCCATAATGCCCTGACACTATTTCAATCTTTCGACATGCTGGCTAATGTGATTTGGTAAATATTCACAGCCATTTTGTGTTTTAGATGCTATTTAATCTAAGCCTGTTTGGCATGAAACTTTTTATATTTGTTTGTATTGTGGTTGGTTCCTGCTAGCCTTTTATGCGAGGGGCTGAGCATACATGCAAATGAAACCAATTCTGTAGTTCAGAGACAGCATGTGAGTCAAATGAATTAAGTAAATGGCATTAGAGTAAGGGAAAGGAGAAGACCTGCTCTGAACATAGGTGTAAATTAATACTATTTTTGAAAATTGTATCTATTGTCATAAATACATCAGTGTTTAATTTCTATTTTTGTTAGAATTTGGTTTTCTGGAGTCAGAAGCATACTGAAGTAGAAACAGTTGATCTTGTCTTGAAGTTAAAGAATAAACTGGTAAGTGAATTGAATGTGGCCAAAAGCTGTCCTGCTGAACAAGGTAGAGGTATTAAATAGTTGAGTTTACAGGTACTTAATGCAAATGGTTTTTGAGGTTTAGGTTCCATAAGTCAGTCATTTTGATTATTTTAAAACAAAGCACAAAACGCTTCCACCTGAGAAGTTAGCCAGTTTCTCAGTTCAGCCAGATGTGTTGGCATTGCACAGATCTTGATTTGTTGGAGCTTTGTGACTGCTTTGGGTGGGGGCAAGGCTGGATACTCAGGGAAACAGAGAACCAAACTTTACTGTGATGGCTGAAAGTCCAACTGAGCATTCGTTCATGCTGGTAGGTGGATGTTGAGAAAACCTGACCAGATCACATTTTACTTTGTTAAAAAATGAGGAATTCATTTTCTGCATTTGCTAACATGTCGTTTTGGTGTGTTTTGAGGAAAACTGGCATTTTTGGCAAGTCATGCTTTGTTGTACCTTTTGCAGCTGCAGGCTGACAGAGAACATCTTCCTGTGAAAACTGATACACTGAAAAAGCTGCAGGCACACATCCGTGATATTATACTTGCACTTCCAGATGACTTGCAGGACATCTTGCTCAAAACTGGCACAACGTGATTCCTGCTGTGTGTGTGCAGGAAACAGGTGAATGTAGTATCACACAAGACAGTGGCTTACAAAGTTCAGGACAAAGATCTAAACAGTACAGTAACACTACAAATGGACTTTACAACTGGTAATATTACACTGTAATATTTTCACTGTTTTTCCCACTTAAGTACCAGTGCAACTAAAGGAATTCCTGTGTCTAATAATGTTTGAAATAAGTGCTCTTAAAGAAAAATCCGTGGGCATCTGAAGCTATTCCACGGTGTAGGACCACAGTGCAGTGCTGGCACTGCAGAATGTTTTCTAATTGGTGCTGCTGTACCCAATGCTGTTAACTCAGGGGTAAGCAATATTGATCCTGTACTGTCCTGTTGATGTAGTATCTGATTGCTTTCCTTTTAAAAAAAACAAAAAAAAACAAAACAAAAAACTGGCATAATGTGTGACTTGGTCAGTACACGTTATACTGAGGTATTTTACTGGTAAACCATCAGCAGCTTATGAAACTGTTTCAGGGACAGCTGAAATAATCACAATGGTTCTTAACTATATCTTCCTTTCACCTTCTGATCCTCTTTCCAAAGACCATATTAATTTAGCATCTTTAAAGTAGAGAAGGCAGCTGACAAACATTTCCCGAAGAGAAATTGCTTCCATTTGATGTTGGTTAATTACGGTGCTTTTATTCAAATGCCTTAAATGAATATCAAGTAACTGTACACCAGTTTGTGGTTTTAAACTGCTGATGTTCAGGATTTAAAGTGGCTCACTAGTGTAAATATGTTCATCACAGTGAATAGACTGACGTTCTGATACAGAATTTAACATTGGTGATTTCAGAAGTCAGTCAGTACGCAGACCGTTTCAGCTGGAGACCATTGTCAGCTTCTGTCAGAAATTTTTACAAATATGTATTTTTTATTTTTTAGGTTTTAATTTTTATTTACAGCAATAGGGTCAGTGAGGAGCTATGGGGTGGGGAGAAGAGGATGCTGACTTTAGCTGATAAAAGCCTATGGAGAGGTCAAACTGTGGCAAGGGAAGTCTGTAGAGGGACATCATTTTTGGTATAAGCACACAGCAGATGTGCATAAAAAACTAATGTTCTGTACTAAGCAACAATTGTGATGTTTATCTTCTTGAGCAAGATTCAGTGGTATATTAGGACTCAGCTGCTCTACATGCAGTGTTATACTTTGGCCAGTTTCATGTAGAATAAACTTACTGCTACCATGGACGCACAGCATACACTTTTACATGACAAGTGGATCAGTTATCAAAAAAAAATCTACTTTTAAGTGCTTGGATGGAGTTTTTAAAAACACATGACCTTGTAATCCTGCTATAAGAAAATGCTTTTGTATAATAAGTATTTCATACCATCTTTCTAAAAATGTCTTATTTAGATACAAAGTGTCGTGACTATTTTTATGAAAATATGTATTTTAATACTGTTATGGTTTGTATACAGTTATTCATGACAAAAAGTTTAATGTATGCATCGTGTTACTTAAACTGCACCACTTCAGCATTAACTTCTAACTTGGAATTTTGTTTGCACATCCTGATGAATACAATTTCTAATTCAGAAATTAATAAGTGGCCATTCCTAATACAAAGCTAACCTGGAGCACTGTGTAGTTCCTTGGAACTATGTAACCTGGTAACAACCACGATCAATATTATCACATGACTGCAATACTTATTTTTTTTTAAAGAAAATAAAGAGTTACGGTTTTTGGAAGTTGCGTGACTTGGATCATGGCTGTGACTTTTCTCCTTGATGTAAGTAAGGCTGCTCAGCAGCTTGTGGAGACTGCTGCCTTGTGGGACCTGGTGGAGCCGTATCCTTCGGGTGACCTTTAGGAGCTGATATTAGCTCAAATCCCTGGACCAGCTGCAGTTATTAGAATCTTGTTCAAAAGAAAGGCAAAAGGAAAAGTAGTATGGGGTTGTTTGCCACCTTTGTCAGTGACCTGTAATGCTTTTAGTGCTGGTAGTTCAAAAGGCTCTTCAGCTAGCGCTGCAGGCCTAGGCAAAATGTAGGCACAAAGCTAGGACTGGTCTTTCTTTGTTACAGGCATCTGATCTTGTCTCTCTGCAGTCCTTTGATGCTGGGCATGCATGTTTTAACCTGGGATGCTTCAGCCATTAGTAGTGTTACAGCCAAGGAACTGAATCAGCTGCAGAAAGCAGTTGCCAGCTTGACAGACTGGAATTTTTCCATCCCTGTTTTTTCAGCTCAGTGTACTTGAAATATAGGTAGAAGAGCCTGTGATAATCTTCATTTATCTGGGGCTTGAAGGCTAAATGACTGTACAGGAACTTCTAGTTTCAGTAATTTTACCTGTTTTCATCTGACTATTAAAAAACAAAATCAAACCCTCAGCTGGCTGATGGTGGGGAGAAGAGATGCAGTCTCACTGTCTCTTTTTGGCTGGTGAGAGAGGAGATTTCTACAGTTGTGCTGTCTGAAAAGTGGATTTGTTGCCCACTGTGCAATAAGTCAATAATCACACGCTCAGAAGAGACACTGCTTATTTATTTTGGGTTTGCACAAGCCTGGTGCTCGGTGGTTTCCCACAAGTCAAGCACCCCAAACGAAACTATTTGTGCTACAGACTTAGCAATTTTTCCAGTCCATCTTCCTTGCAGTGATTGGTTGGCAATTCACAATTACAATATTGATGGCCCTACTTCCAGCACTGTGTGCTCAGGGGAAGGGTCTCACCTGGGCAGGAGTCTTTTTGACCTGCAGGTGTGATTTTAGTGTTATAGTGAAGGTAGTTCAGCTAAATAAAGATACAGGGCTGCTGAGTTTTCTTGCCAAGTGGGCCCACATCTTCAGACCATCCCGACTGATGTCCTCCTCAAGGCCTACTGGCTCTGGGATGTCCCAGGCTAACGGATGCAAGTTATTGCTGACACCCAGCACAGCATTCGCTCAGTTTTTAGAGTTTAGAGTTTAGTTTTTAGAGCGGTTTGAGTTGGAAGCTGTTACTAAAAGGACGCTAATGGTGCCTGCTCCACAGAAATAGAAGAATTAGCAGTGTCAGTGCACTTAATGCTGTTTCAGGCAAACTGACCGTGGATGGTTCTGTCCCGGGCCGTGTCTGCGCCCCGAGTCACATCGCCTCCCTTCGGAAGGAGCTGTGCGAAGGCCGGATGTTGGGCAGCGCGCAGACACTGAGGGGCACTGCCTGCCGTGCCGGGCCGGGCCTCGGGAAGCCCTGCAAAGAACCTGCGGCTCTGCAGTTCATAAGGCGGAGGGCCGTGCCTTTCCGACCGAACGCGTTCCTAACAGCACCGCACCTGTCGGGGTTTCGGTTTCGCTGCCTGCCGTCAGCCGGGACACGTCTGCGGTGCCAGCATCACCGCGGTGCGAGCTGCGAAACGCGCACACGAGAAAAACGTTGCTGTCAGCCACGTTTACGGCACCAAGGGACGCCGCTTTTACCGCCTGCCCCGCGTGCTGCCGGGCGCTACGGGGGGGTGGGGAGGGGGGGCTTCCCGGGGCCGTTTTACCCTAAACCCCCAACTTCTGTATCGCGCTTCCCGCGGCTGAGCGCAGCGGCAGGGCGGGCTCAGCCAGCCGCACCGCCGGCCCGGCAGCGAGCGCAGCTCCGCCCGCCCTCGGCCGCCACTGCGCTCCGGCGCGGCGCAGAACCGCGTTTCCCGGCAGGCCGCGCTCCGCCGCGCCGCGATGGCAGGGACGGCTTCGCTACGGCTTCGCTACGGCTTCGCTACGGCTTCACTACGGCTCCCGCGCTGCACCGCGGCGGCGCGGAGCGGAGAGCGAGGCGGGAGGCGGCGCGGGGCCCGCCGGGAAACGCAGTCCTCGCCGCCTTTGGGCCGCGCGGCGGAGGGCGGCGCCGCGGCGGGGGGATGTGGCTGAGCGTGACGCGATTCTGTCCGCGTTGGAGCCCGGCGGCCGTGGCGAGCGTGACGTGGCAGAGAGCGAGCGAGCGAGCGCGGATCTCGGTCGCACAGCCGCCGCCGCCGCCGCCTGCGCCTTTATAAGTGGGCGCCGCCGAGCCCCGCCAGGTCAGCGCGCCGCCCGCTCCGCACAGCCGTCCGCCAGTGGAACCCGGCGCCGCGCCGCCCTTCCTCCGCCGCCATGGGCCTCACCATCTCCTCGCTCTTCTCGCGCCTCTTCGGCAAGAAGCAGATGCGCATCCTCATGGGTAAGGGCCGAGCGGCCGGGCCTGCCGCTGCCGGGCCCCGCGCCGGCCTGCCGTGCCGTACTGCGCTGCGCTGCGCTGCGCTGCGGCCGGGCCCGACGGGGGGCGGGGAGCGGAGCGGGGTGGGGGGGTGCCGCGGTGCCGCGCCGCGCCGTTGCCCTTCCTTTAGGGGCCGCGGGAGGAGGGGAAGGTGGGGACGGGGCTGGAGGCGAAAGCCCGCTCCTCGGCACCGCGCTGCCGCCGCGGCCCGGAGCGGAGGGCCGAGCGGAGGCGGGGGGGCCGCGCCGTGCCCGCTCCGGGCCGACCGTGCGGCGGATCCGAGCGCTGGGTTGCGGCGGCCGGGCGGCGGCGGCGGCGGCGCTCGGGAAGCGCGGGCCGTGCGGTGCGGAGCTCGGGGCGCGTTCTGCGTTCTGCCCGCCCCCGCCGTGCCTCGTGCGCCGGGCCGGGCCGCGCGGCGCTTCTCGCGGAGCTCGGCTCTGAGCGACCCGCTGCGGGGCGGCCCGGCGCCGCCCGACGGATGAAGCGGCGGCGGCCGAAGATTCCCACCGGGAGGTCGCGGTTCAAAAGGTCACGGGCGGCAGCGCCGCGTTCCGCACTTCCTCCTCCGCTCCTCCTTTCCTTCTCCGCTCCGCCGGCCTGCGTGTGCCCGCGGCTGCGCGGCCCCGCGCCTCCGGCGTTGCTCGGCCGCTCCGCGGGCCGGCGCTGCGCCCCGAGCGGGGAGCTGAACGGACTTGCCGGCTTGCGGTGTTGGGTCTGCCCGGCAGTCCGGCTCTCCTTGTGGCTCCGAACGGTGCGAGACCTTCAGGTGAGCCTGGCTGCGACGGGAGGTGCGGTCTGATAACTGCGTGCCGCGGAATAATGAAAGCGGCACGCAATGCCAGGCACACCGAAACAGCCTGCGGGGGCTTGGGTTTCCTCACTGGTTCGTAATTAGTTCAGATGTAGCTTAGCTGTGACCTACTGAGTAGTGTTTCTTCTGGCCGGTTCAGCTGCACCTTTGTCGGTGTTGTTTTTTCCCCATCTTTGATTTCAAGGCTTTTACTGTATTCACATGCAAGGCTGGATCAGAGATGAGACTGCTCCTGGCTTTTGGTGAGTGTAAGAGGAAACACGTCTGCTGCGTTGTGAGGGAGCTGTAGTGCAGGACCTAAATTGGCTGTTGGGAAGCAGAGAATGTGTAATTCACCTGTAACATAGAAAAGAACCTCAAGATAACATTCTGCATCACATATTAGTGCTTGGAGATGCCTGAACGAACACTGGAACTGACTTAAACCTTTCCTCAGTCCTACTCTTACATGCGTATGTCTGCAGAAGTCTTCGCTCCTGGCTTCGTGTGCTAAAGAAGGGACAGTACTGTGCACTCTGCAGTACTGTGCCAGCTATCTTTTGCTGTAGTTGTGTGACTGGGAACTGAGATAATAGCTACTCAGAAGCTTCAAATGCAGAGGTAGTTATTGTATACTGAGTAGTGAGGGAAGGCCAGATTCTTTGGAAAGTGTGTCCTTGTACAGCTCACAGCTACTTAGCAATCTTCTGTTCTTTTTCTACATGGGTAGACTTGCATTCTTTTGGTATTCTTTGTGTGTGTTTTCTTGAAACTGTGTTGGGAATCAGCCCTTCGTGGGCCCCGAAGAGTTACCCACTTGAAGCCAAGCCTGAAAAAAGAATAGTAGTACTTTAAGGATGAAGATAAGGTTTGAGAGATCTAGTGTCAAGGTAGAAGAAAAGTGAAAAAGTGAAGGAATAATCATCTCTACCAAATTGGGACTCATCAACTTTGTTTGTTGTTAAGCAGTATTTGATGTAATGTGAGCTTTGTGAATCAATTAAAGATGGTTGGAGCTTCCCTCCCCCCCCTTTCCTCCTCTGGTCATGGGAAACATTGATGTTGGAAGCAGCAACGTGCTGTGCTCTGTACTATCTGAAATCTGTGACTGCCAGAGCATATTGGTCTTGATGGGGTTTCCATTTAGAAAGTCAGTCCTCAATTCTTCTTAGTTTTATTTTTTTAGATTTAGAGTATGGATGTTTGTGTTAGGGTGCCTGCAGCAGCTTGGTGCTCAGTCACCAAGGATCCGGGCAGAAAGCTGGATCTGAGGAACTGATGTGATCACAGGGGTGGTGTTTCCAGGGACAGTGAGAATGACAAGTTTGATGCTTAGAAGTGTGGTTGATGGGCTGTAAATGAAGCATTCTAAGGCTTTAGAACTGCACTTGTTTTCACAGCAGCTGGAAGTGCTGCAGATGTAAATTCTCCTTCTAGAGGAAGAGGATGTTTGACTTAAATTGTCACAAGTGCAAGTCTGTGCTTCCCGTTTGTGCTTGAGCTGTGTAGTGCTCAGTGGTACAACTGCTGTAATGCCCACGTGGAGGTGGTTAGGCTGACATGGTGGGCCGGAGGGAAGATCTAGGGTTGAAGTTCACATTGTTTGGAGATCTGAGACTTCAGGTTTTAACCTTGATAGTAACTTCTGTATCATGAAATTAACGTGACGTAACTCTTAGATTGACATCATGTGTTCCAGTACAAATGTAAATGTACTAATTCTCAAAAACAACTGTGGCAGCAATATTGTAAGCTGCTGGACCACAAAAGGAATGTTTCCTAGGGGCTCAAAATGTAAATTTGGTGTTGTGACCTGTTGTCTTATAAAAAGTATCAATAAACTGAAATAAGTGTGAACACATGCTCTGCTGTTGATAGCTATTGATTATTTAAAGTTAAGAGTTTTTACTTGACTAAAAGTGGCAGTTCCTGATGACTTGCATCATGCAGATGTTACTTTCTTCTGCCAAAGGCTGCTGTCTCAGTGGTGGAGCTGCAAGAAAACACCCATCCATAAGTCAGCCTGCCTCAGTGCAAAGTCCAACAGCTTCACTGCAGTTGTGGATGAGCCTGGGTCTCAGCAGCATCTCTGGGCATTGTGCTCGTGTAGCTCATGTATCTTCTGCAACACTGCTGGGGCAGCAGGAGCAGGGCGGGTTTATCTGCATCTCTACAGATTTATCTGCATTTCTGCTCTAACACATCAAATACACTGAAGTAATTCTGTAGATAATGGCATTTTTCTCTTGTTGGCAGTTTTCTTGGGTCTGGTGTTGTTCAGCTGATAACTGTTGTGGTTTTGGGGCTGGGGGTGAGGGGAAGGAAGAATTGAGAGTATGTTTAGCTGTAATTTGGTTATTTATTTCATATCCATATACTGGAGAACTGCCACACATGATGCACATCCATGACTTGCTTTCTTGTGAATATCTAGGCATCCTAGAGACATTCGCTTGAGGCTGATCTGCTGTGTAAGAAGAAAGCTGGGTTTCAAGTGTTGTGCTATTTAAAACATAATTTTTCAGCTTAGATAGAGTACCTGAGGGCTTCAGGGTTTCCTTAAAGAGCTTTGCACTTGATTGTTGCAGGGAAAATGCTAATGCTTGGAGGTTTCCAGATCCACAAGTTCCTCTGAAGCCGTGCTCAGGTTCTCAGCTTTTGTTAAGCACGTTTGGCTCCAGCAGAGACCCACACTTAGACAGCAGAGAGCTTAAAAATCTTAATTTAGTTTGAGCATCTGGGGAGTCCATTCCTCCCCAGGGAGCTTTGTTTTTTGGTGGTGTTTTTTTCCTCTTGCTCTGTGATGTTGGTAATTAGAGAACAACATCTAATTTTTATCATCGTGAATAAAAAGTAATACAAAAAAAAACTGCAGTTGCATGTCAAACTGTGTTCACAGCACTGAGCTACAGAGCACCAAGGTTCTGTAGTTGTTTCCTGTAACAGCAGTCAGTGCCCTGAGAAGGAGGCAGTGTCTTCTGAGTTTGGTTTCATTTTGAGTAAGGAGCTGACTTTTGCTTTCATGTTACTGCAGAGCTAAGGGAGCGCTTGTAGCCAACTCAGCAGCCACTCAGAACTTATGTATGGGCTCACTGAGTGGGAAACTACCGTGGGACACCTAACCATGTTACCAAGCAAGGATACCATTTGGCTTCTTGTATGAGTGTTAGTTAATTCTTCAGTGAAGGTTTGTTTGTGTTTTTTTTTGTTTTGTTCTGCCCAAGCAAAAAAACTTTTACTGCCACAAACAGGCATATTATTGAAGCTGTTGCTGTGGAAAGTGCTTAGTACCTGCTGTTTCTTTAGGTGCTTGCACTCAACATAGGGCAATACCATAAAGAACAGTATTTGAAGTTGCTCTTGTGTGTTCTGAAGTGTCAATAGGTATTTGCAAGAAAACTTCATGAAACTACAGTGTGTGCCTCAGTGTTAGTGATGCTTCTCAAAAAATGCCTCTAGGCCTCCAGTTTTGGTAAGGAATGCAGATCTACCCTACAGCTTGCCTTTAAAAACAGCTGACTGAACTTTGGCTGTAGCAGTGAAGAGCAAATGGCAGTGCAGCAGGCTTTCAGTAAGGATGGCCAGACCTGGCTAAGGAGAGCATCCTGGTGGGTCTCAGCGTGTAGAAGTGAGTAGAAGTGATATTGTGGCGAGAGCTCACAACTCTTGGAATATATAGAATATATGGAGGGGAAGGATAAGAGTTGCCTCACATAGCTTGTTCTTTTGATAAATCAAAGGGAGTGGAATGAGGGAGACAGAAGTGTGTTCTAGTGCTGTTCACGCTGCTTCAGGTGTGCATGGAACTGACCTTAGCTGGACATCAAGTGAGATGTTCCCCTGCTTGAGTGCTAAACAGCAGCTGTGTGATTGGTTAGAAGTGATGTTCTATTGGTAGATGATTGTGAGGCATTGAAACCATCCTGACTATCTGGAAAAAAAAAAAAACTTTAGAAGAGAATGTAACACAAATCTGAAGGAAGATGACTAGAAGGTTCTGAATCTGTAGGTTGTGGGTGAAGATGTGCTATTGAGCTTGTTTATTGCCTGAGTTCTCTCTCAGAGCTGAGCAGAGGACATAACGCAAAATATGTGGTAGTATATCAATAACGACTGAAGAGAACACAATAAGTTGTTTTCTCTCGGGGGAAAAAAGAAAACCAAAGCAAATACTCTACATTTAAAATGGCATCTCTTTGAAATGATGAGGTTGAGTCCATATTGTGAACTAAATAAAATTTTCTGTTTTTTCCTAGTTGGTTTGGATGCTGCTGGTAAGACGACTATCCTTTATAAGCTGAAACTAGGAGAAATTGTCACCACAATTCCCACTATTGGTAAGATAAATTCCAATGTCTTCATAACCAATTCTCATCTTTGTTCCTGTTGCTCAAAATTTGTGTTGTAGGGATGGGCTTCTGAGGAGTGTAGGAATTTGCTGTCCTTGCTGTTAGCATAGGGATGGAGACAAACAGAGCAGCTTCAGGGTAGCTTACATAATCTGGTACTGCCATGGCAGTAACACTCATTCTGTGTCACCCAGAAGATACACCCAAACAGGAGTCCTGTCTGACAGCAGCTGGCAGCTGATGCTCAGGAGTACAGGAGCTGTTTAGGTACCAGTGCTCTGTCCTAACACCAGGAGTCTTCACCAATTTGTGGTTGAGAGGCTCTTTCAACCAAAGGTGGTGTGTTTTGGGTTTAACTGACTTTTATATTTTGGGAGATCAAAAAGAAAAGGTCTTGCCAGAATTCACTTGTCAGAAGTAAAACTTGAGAAGTTATCTTCAACAGGATTGGAATTATGTTGTAATGTTACCATTAACAATTTCTAACGGACTCTTTTATTTTAGGTTTTAATGTGGAAACAGTAGAATACAAAAACATTTGCTTCACAGTTTGGGATGTTGGTGGTCAAGATAAAATCAGACCTCTTTGGAGGCATTATTTCCAAAATACACAGGTAAGAATTTTAAAATAGCAGTGGTTAGTAACCTATTTTGTAAAGGCTCATTATGTGCTGTAGTGTCTATTGAAAGTTGTCTCTATTGAAAGTCCTGTCTCTTCCTTTTAGAAGGGTTCCTTGCTATCTTTCTCAAGTTCTGTGGGATACCCAGGCCTAATTCTTGTTAAAGCCATTAAAAAAATTGTTTTTTTTTTTACCCTGAAGGTTTCAGTGCTTAGTGTTTAGCATAGCTTAATGAGGGCAAAGTCCTAAGAATCTGTTAGCATTCTGTAATAAGCCAGAGCAGCTGTTAGTTTGTAAGGAACAATTTAGCTGGGCTTTGCTGATCTATCTGAACTGGTATGGATTTATACAAGAAGTGTTATTGTCTAAAGTCCTGCACTGAGCATCAAAAGTTTTTTTTTTTTTTACATATCAGAGTATCTAAAAGTGTCTTTAATATCTTACTACTCATTGCTTAGAAAGTGACAATTTCATGCTGACATGATTACTGATGTTCTTGGTGATGTAAATGTAATTCTTTCCTTTGTCTCACAGGCAGTGAGATAAATCACTTACTAATACTGAAGAACTTCAGTGATGAGGTTTGGGGTTTTGTTCTGTTGGATCTAGAATTGTTTCCAAGACATGTCTGTGCAGCATAAGTGTGATAGTTGGGTGCAGAAAACTCTGAGCTCTAGGCAGACAAGCAGCTAACACTATTGTTATTTCAGTAATAATTATTTATAATAGGACTGGACTGAAAATATTTTTAAAAGTTGCTTATGCTGTCTTCAAGAGAATAATAAAAATGGTCAGAGAAAGCAGTGCTTATGTGAGGAGTGCACTTGGGTAACACAGATGCTGGTAGAAATAACATTTGCTGAAGCACTTCTTACAGTTCCTGTGCTGCATTTAATCTAATGCTGAGAGAAAAGGGAAGTGCAGGGAAGGAAAAGTGTTAGTTTAGAAAACCTTGTTGGGTTTGCTGTGCGTGTTTGTTTTTTTTTTTTTTTAAATTAATGATTCCTACACCAATATATTAACTGACATTTCCAATTAATGTTGTGGTTGTTTTTTTTTTTTTTTTAAATTAAAAGTTCTAGCTTAATTTTGCTGCTGATACTCACTGTGTAGGTGTTCAGACAGACATCTTGTGTTGCCTGAGCAAGATAAACAGAACTTTCTAAGAAATTTGCTTTCCTCAAACCAGACTAATTTCTTGCAGGGCCTCATCTTTGTGGTGGATAGCAATGACAGAGAGAGAATCGAGGAAGCAGCAGATGAGCTGCAGAAAATGGTAAGTGTTGATACTTTCTGAAAGAAAATAGCTTTTTTTGAGGTTTTGGGTGTTTTTTGTTGTTTTTTTTTTCTTTGTTAGGATGAATCAGATTCCTGAGGGTGTTTAGGAAGTTTTTGCAATGCATGTTGTGTGCACCAGGGAGTTCTAGCTTTAGTGCATTGTATAGTAGCTGCAACTCTGTAGAGAGCTTTCCCTCAAGAACTACTCATGTGAGAATCTTTCATAAAGTGTTAAGAAAAATGCAGGAGGTGAGGGAAGAGTTTTAATAAATACTTCAGTGTTTCATCAGTAAGGTCCTGATGAACTTAAACTGCTTAATGAAAGAATATTTCTTCTAGAACATCTGCTGGGTGCTAGATGAATTTTAATATGTACTTCCAGTGACTTGAGCAATAATGAAAAAGCAGATTATGGTTAAACAGTACTTAGGTTTCTGTAGTGCTTGCTGAAGTACTTAGCTAATGCAGTAACATGGCTGTTTGTTTTTTTTCTCTCAGCTTCAGGAGGATGAGCTGCGAGATGCAGTGCTGCTGCTGTTTGCAAACAAGCAGGATCTGCCGAACGCCATGGCAATCAGCGAGATGACGGATAAACTAGGCCTGCAGTCCCTGCGTAACAGAACTGTAAGTGCTAAACTTGTCTGGTTGCTAACTCTGGCTTGCTTTATTAGATACCATAAGATTAATCTCCATTCAAAGCAAGGGAAGCGTTTACCTTTTTCTGTAGAGGGATGCATGTACCTGCTATTAAACTCTGTAGGAGGAAGTTGAAGGTCCTCCTTTAAAACAGGTGATCTAGAAGTGTAATTCAGTGTGTACAGCAGCACGTTGCAGGTGTTTTCCCTCACCTTTTTCTGGAAAAATAGAAATGTTCCAGCCTGTCACTGAAATGTAACCGTGAGTGTTTGAGGAGCGTGGTAGGCTTGCCTCATGTCCAAGTGCTCACTTCTCCTCAGGGACAAAGTGCTTTGTGTATTCTCATCCCAGCAAAGATGCAAGGAAATGAAATACTTCTTGACTAATTACATCTCATCTGTACAGCCCTTTGAGATAAAAGGTTGCTTCACATAAACTATCTATTATTGTGTAATGCTCATTTTGTTTGACACACCAAGTTTATATGTAGTCAGATGCCCCAGAGGTCCCTTAAATCTGATAATCGCATGCCTGTGTCCAGGAGAGCAGTCTTGCAAAACAGAGAAGCTAGTTTTCTACATATAAAACAAGTGAAAGTTTGGGTTTTTTCTTCTTGATGCACTAAAATGTATTTTGGCACATGGAGCTTCTGGATGATGTGTAAACCCCACCTACTTTGTCTATACTTCTCAAAATTTAGAAAATACTCTGTTCAGTATCGACTCTGGGGTGCAAAACAATGTTTAAAGAGCACTATTTGAGTTTGTATCTGAGTGTCACATACTGTGATAACTTGGTTTGCATTTTGTCAGTATGTAAACTTCTGTCTGTCTGTGTTCTGTGTTAACAGTGGTATGTCCAAGCTACCTGTGCTACGCAAGGAACTGGTCTGTATGAGGGACTTGACTGGCTCTCAAACGAACTCTCAAAACGCTAACTCAAACTGGATGACTCTTTCACCAGGGACACGTTTGATATAAGTGGTCTAGGCTTGTTACAACAAAATTAGTTTGCATCTTGGTTATTACAATATCTGGAACTGATCTTTGGGCAGGATATTACAGCATTTCAACTTTTGTTGCCAATTATTGTTTACCGAGCTACATGTTGCAAAGGTAGCAATATGCTTGGGTAAAAATCTCCTTAACTTGGAAAAAGTGTATCTTCTGATTCTACTCCCCTTGTTAGCCTAAATGCCTGAGTATAGTTATCGTGACATCTTCAAGATCTGTTTTGAATACTTTTTTTTGAGCCCCAATAAATTAATGTTTTAATTTTTCTCCCCGCTACTTTTAGTTTACTGATGCCGTTTCATTCCTCAGACAGTCTGCTGATTTAAAAATGTAGCATTCCGTATATTTATTTCTCTCCCTTGCCAAAAAGAATTCCTAATACTGCTTGTTCCCGCCGAGAAAATGCTCTAAAACACTATTCAAATCTACTGCACTGAGGAACATTTTATTAATCCTTGGGTTCTATCAGCCCAACTTGCCTTTGTGAGAATTGGATTCGATGGGTAGAATAGTTCTGTGCTGGCTGCGAAGAGCTCATGTTGAGGTTGTTTTTAATATTCAGCAGATTGTCTTCCTTTATATTGTATCTTTTTTTTATGTTGCATGTTGCTTTTTGGTATCAGCCTGACTATTTTTGCCCAGTGTATAATAGTTCTGCTGAAGTTTTACTGTTTGTTGGTGGACATATCTTCATAATGAGATTTTGGAAAATTCATCAAACTCAATGGATTAGTTTCTTCATAACCCACTTGGAATTATTCCTAATAAAATGATAAAATGTATTGTTCTGCGTATGCTCTTGATTCTTAAGTAGTTGAACTATGACTTATCACATACTCAGTTTCCATAAACTGAGCTTCATTGCAGCTTGAATGTGAACGTAAATCTCATTTTCACTTGTTTGGGGCTGTACAGAGTGGGGCACAAGGTGGGCAGAGTTGTATACAGTGCAGCAGAGTAGTTGTCATCAAGACCTATAATTCTGTGTCTTTTGAAGTTGTAAATCTAAAATTCCTTTTAAGTTGTCCAGATATGAAAATACTAACAGTTACAAAAACAGTAATAAAACAAGTACAAACTGCCTGAGAAGCATGCATGTCTGTCTTGTAGTTGTTTCTGCACTTAAAAACAACATGGTTTCTAGCAGGAGGTGGTGGTTGGTTAGCTGAAAAGTGAAACACTTGAACAGGCTTTAATCACCATTGTGCTAACGGTGATGGGCTCCCCCCCAGAAATAAGGTCTATATAGCTGCTGCATCCCTTCCCTCCCTGACATGGTTTCAAAATGCTTAAATTAACTCTTTTCTATTTTTCTGTCTGCTGAACAGATGCAAACGGCTCAATCTTGTGTCTTAATTGTCTTCAGGTATCTGAAGTATGATTTCATGGCAGATTTGACCTCATATCTTCATAGCTCATATCCTACAAGCTCAGATCTTGCTGTCCTTCCTCCAAGAAATCCCAGTGCCAGAGTCTGCTAAGCTCAAGCAGGTTTAGATTAAGAGCAACTTCCAAGCAGGTTGTGCTGTACCCATGAGACTGAAGTTTCTAGGAAACAGTTACTGTGAGCACCAATAACTGGAGGAAATTCCAGAGCTCTCAAAATGAGTCAGTGACTCTACTTGGTGCATAACAGAAACCCAAGAGATAGAGTTAATGTTCTGCTTGTAGCTTTAATGAGTTGCTGAGTACACACCAACAGAAGTCGATATATCTGTGCATTTGATCAGTAGTTGTTAATGTGTGTGTATTTCTGGTAAAGCAGCTTCTTGAAATATTCCTTTGAAGGAATGCCTTGCTCAGAAGAGCTGGCTGGTCTGTTGGGTGGGCTGTAGTGGTACAGCGAGTTAAAGTGAAACAATTGTGACACATTCAATTCCACCTTAAATGCATCTTCCAAAGCAGAGGTTAGAGGTAGACTTTAAATACAAGAAGTATGGATGAAAGAGGACTGTTACCATCTAAGTAGTAAAGATCTTCAGCCTCATTTTAAAATGAGGGGTGGGAGTGAAGGCTACAGCTTATACAGTAAGGTGGAAGTCAGTGTTAAAGAAAAAATTTCCTTCCTAAAAAGCTAGTCAGAGCACATGCTGGAACAGTGCTCTTCCCTTTTCTGACCATAGGTCAGAGAAGGGAAAGTGAGATGCTCCTTGCTCTCTTAATGCCAGGCTGAGAAGGTAGCATAACAAATGAACGTACTTCAAAAATGCAGAGAATATTCCTTGTTTTTTGGGAGGTGACTGGGAGGTTCTTTTCTTACGTGGAGGATATGGAGAATTCCAGCTGCTGGATCACTTGCAAGTTTAGAATTGTGAAATAAAATGGAGACAAGTTTGATAGGGTCCTATGAATATGGGATCTAGAAGTGGTTTAGGGAAGAATTAATTGGGCAAGATATAGGTAAATATGTAGGGGGAACAAGAAGCTAAAATCACCTTGTGTCAAGTAGGAAGTATTATGTATAACCTCACAGATGTAAATACATCTTGGGAGCATATGGAATATCAATGGATTGTTTTTTACACTCCCCCAAAAATCACAAGTTCTTTTGAATTGTCTTTTTCCTAACCTAGACCCCAGTGCTGCATTCTTCCAGGCATGCCTGCCTAACTCCTGACACAGTGCTGCTGTTGGCAGTCAGCCTGTGCTGTTGCATTTTACTAATTAAACTGGAGATGCTTGGCCTGGAGATTCTTCAGCATTAACTTGTGCAGCTGAAATTCCTTCCAAAAATGTTAAAGGATTATCTGCCATGTGCAGGGGCCATCTAATTGGGCCTATAACAGTACCCTGTTTTTGCCTTATCACTTGGTTCCTGCACCAGCCAAGCTGTCCCATGCTCTCTCCTTTGTCTACAAGGAGAAAAAAGCAGCAGCCCAAACACCACTACAGGGATTAAGAGGGGCTGCCTCTTCAGAGGCAGTTTCACCACAGTAGGAACTGTCAACATATATAAAAGTAGGAAAAAGTTAGAAGAAAAACTTACCTCTCTCAGCAATTGGAGCCAGCTACCAGCTTCCTTTACAATGACAGGGGCGTGAGTTGTGGCACCTGTTTAATCTAAAGTCATCCTTACTTTTAATTCATCTGTGAACTAACAAGTGGCTCCGCCATCCTCTTTGCTTGTGGTTCTTTAACATCTTCCTTTAAGTACTTTTCTAGCCTCCCTTACAGTAGGGCATTCTACCACAAACCCATATCAGGTGATATTGCTTCTCAACATTATGATCTGAGCATGACAAGTTAGTTAAGAACTGCATGGCCATCTCAATATTAGTATAGATGGCAGAGTTCCAAGTGTTGTTTTACAAGTAACTGAAATAAACACAGCATTGGATTTTAACTTAATCTTCTGGAGAGTTACCAACTGGAAGAAGTTCTGAATTACATTTTTATTCTATTTTTCTGTTGTTTAAACAGTCTTTTAAGTCTTCTCCTACCATATTTATGGTAGACTGTTGTAATGTAGACTCTTCTGTCTACATTACAACAGTGTTTCTTTTGCTTGTATTGAGATTAAGCTGTTGTTTGTTTTTGTTTTTCATCACATTAGGACTTGTTTTGCCATGCTAGGCAACTGTGACTGGAAAGAAATCAAGTGAGAACTGGCACAATCAGAAAAGGTAGCTTATTAGGTGAAAGATGATGTAGTGACATAGTTTAAGTGCTGATTGTTTCATATGGACTAATTCTGCAGAAAAAGTTAGTTAACGATTCATACCCTTTCCAACAAATTCAATGAAGATAACAGTAAAGCAAGTTTCCCAACATCCAAATTACCTAGCCTAGACTAGTTCGGCATGGAACAATGTACAAGGAACAAAAACAGTATTTGTATTTTTTAGTATAAGTGCTTTTTATAAAGTTTTAAGTAACTTGTTTCTTTCTTTAAAAATGCAGGCAGAGATGGATACACCACATCATTTGTTCTGTACCTCCTCACACCTGAAAAGAGATTATTAAATTATGTTGTTAGTTCCCTCCCATCCCCAGCTGGCTGTCCTAACCTCAAATACTACTACTGACCATAGACAACAGATGGAACAGTTGATGCAACCTATATATAGAATCCAGTTTAAGTAAGTGTATAAGTGACTCTCACTACCCGTGCTAAGTGGGCAAGCAAAGTGCTTCCAGGTTGATTATCATCTTAAATTTAACATGGCTATTGACTGAACAAGACCATTCACTGATAATTAAAGAATGGTTTTTCAGAAGGCAACAGATACAGTGATCATGCCACTTGCTAAAAAACTGGCTGATAAACTCAGCTTCTGAGTTCAGTTTAAAAGCTGTCTCATGACAGTAATCACAACAAGCTGAATGAATCCAAACCATGGTCGTTTCTTTTCAGATTCTGCATCTGGTTCTGATCAGGGTTCAGTTTGTACATTTATAAGACTGAATTTATATCTTCAACAATTTTAGTCCTTTAAAAACCTGTAAAAGGGTATGTAAACCAACTTTCAAAATTCTACAGCTGAAATATTTTTTTTCTATTGGCATATAAAAAGGGAAAGGAGAAAGTGTTGTGTAAGCTCATGTCAACGGTGAGATAACCCTCAGTAGCACCATTAAACACATTAACTTTTCTTAAATTGCTCTCATTTTAGTAGCATACAAGCCAGGGTTGAACCTGAGTTCCTCAACAGTACATCAGTTTGTACAAAAACTCCAAAAAGCACTATGCAAAAGCCAATCTATTTCCACTTTAAGTCACATATGAGTGCTATGTGGTCTGAAGGATGTGAAACACTTGGCAAAGCCTGATGGGTTGTTACTTCTTCATGACTTGGCAATGGAATGACCTGTTCAACTTCCAGAGCATTTTTGTCAATGAAAATGTAGTCCAGACATCCATAAAACCCACCAACATAGTTTGTATATGCAGGTTCTCCACAAGCACTCTGTAGTTGGAAGGGATGGCTTAGAGGCATATTGCACCTTTCCTCTTCTCCGTTAGAGGCCCAATCTTCGTGATCTTCAGCAATGCCACCAGTGTTAATAAAACCATAAGTTCCAGATGATGGTGTACTATTAAAGTCTCCACAGAATATGACTGGTATGTTAGGGTACAAGTCACATGCTACATGCTTGATGTGAGACAAAGCTACAGCGATTTGGATGAGACGAATGTTCCCACCTAAAGATGTAAAAATATGTTACTTAAAATACTTTGTAAAGGCACTGGAAGAGTTTTTCAAGTTGTTCATTTAGACACATGTCACATAAAGCTTTGAAACAGCACTCTTGCTTTAAATTCCCCATGTGCTGTATTTCAGAATAGTTTTCATAAATAACGATGTCTTTGATATGTGACCATCAAAACTGTACAGCAGAGGACATTTAATTTTTCTTCCCATGAATTTTAAAAATTATATACCTTCAACACCCATATTGCAGCAGCCTTCTAGTTCTTGGAAACTATCCCTACAGTGTTTTTGAATGGCACAGAACTAAAACAGAACTAATTTAATGGAAGAGAGTCTCTTGAAAACTTCAGTAGCCCAACTTGTTTCCTGTGATAAAAGCACCACAACATAGCTTCTTTGGGTACAACAGGATGGGGGAACCACGAGCACACACAGACTTTATGGTCCACTTTTCAGGCAAATTGTGTTTTAATGTGACTGTCTTGCATTTGTTTGGATTCTACTGCTGGCCTGGCAGACCACAGCAATCTTACTGTAAGGAAGATAAATAAATCTAGTAGCCAGGCTTGGATCACTAAGGTATGGAATGGGGCAAAAAAAACCTCAGTTCCACAAGAAAAGGCAAAACCTGCAAAAGAATAAGGAAGAATGTAGGAAAATTACCTTTTGGATGCCAGTAGAGATGGGTGTTAGCTACACAAAGCTTCCTAGAAGGATCAGTTTCAGACTGAAGAACTGAAACCTTTAAGAAAAAGAAGCCTTTAATCAATTTTAAATAAAGATTTATATATTTAAAACAAATGCATTAGTTAGCTTATGCTTTCACAGCAATCCAGTCCGAAGAATCTGATGCTTACAACTAATCAAAGGCACAGCTCCTAAATTGAGTCTATTTGTCCTCTATGTAAGGTATGAATTTCAGCCACTTACATTGCTAGTGTTACAACTACAGAATTCTACCAACATCTGGATACTTGATAAGTGCTCTGTCTGTAGCCTTCTGGTTTGACCACATTTTCCTTCAGTCCATTCAGTAGTTTTTCATAGTATGTTGAAAATGCAGTCGTTTCCTCCCTCCCCCTCCAGCTCTTTCATCACTTTGGGGTCAGAAACAGAGACAGAAGAGTCTCTGGCTTCAGCAAGCAAACTGTAATGCTGTATTCTTGTGAAATTACATTTGGAGGTGACTTCAGTTATCAAGGAAAGTTTGTTACTCCTATTCATGCCATTAGAAACCTGTAGGAGCATTTCTGAAATTCCTGACAGACTTCTATTAGCTCTGCAGGCTGCCCCACCGGCATCAACAAGCTCACAGATCTGTCCATTCTTATTTCTCCACCTCTGTGTTCGGTGGCATTATTAAAGCAGGCTAACTTAGGTTAATCTCACAACTGGCAAGATTAAGTTTAGTGATATACTTATCACGATACAGGATTGAGTAGTGAAACAACGGGCAGCTAATGCCCCAAAGCAGCAATGGACACCTGGCCCAGCACTTCTGACAGCTGACTCCACCTTACTGCAAAGAAAGTAAGCTGGCCTTTTTTTAAAGTTTCACATGATTGCCTACATAAGGTTACTTAAAGCCTGCCTGTCAGCACTGTGTTTGCGCTGCCTCACGCCGTGCAGAGCAGCACCCCAGCTAACAGGGGCACGTCCCGACCGCCAACACGGTGCCCCACAGCTGCCGGGCTGCGGCTGCTGGACAGGGCGGCCGCAGATACCTGCAGCACGGAGGATCTCTGCAGCACCTTGTCCCGCACCACGGGGTACCGGCCCAGCTTGTCGCGCAGCTCCGCGTGCAGCGGCTCCGACAGCAGTGCCTCGCTGAACACGATGTCGTGCTGGCTCAGGAGGCTGAACTTGTCCCTGCGGTAGAAGGTGGCCAGGCCCTCGTGCTGCTTCTCCTTGATCTTGAAGAGCCCCTCGAGCCCGAACGCGTCCAGAGCCGGGGCCAGGCTGTCAGCGAAGACGGATTTGTCCACCTCCTGCAGGCAGACGAGGTCGGCGTTGTATCCGGCCAGCTCCTTCTTCAGCAGGTTCTGCCGGTAGTCGACCTCCAGCGCGTACGGGGCGCAGTACGGGTACAGCACGGTGCGGGAGAACTCGGTCTGGGCGTAGGCGTCGGCCAGGATGTTGTAGGAGACGGCGCGCACGGAGCCGCGGCCGCACACCTTCCGCGTGTAGAGGTGCCGCGCGTCGAACGTGCACGCGCCCGGCCCGGCCTCCACGGGGCCGCTGCTCTCCACCTCGCGGGGCGGCCCGAAGCGCCTCGCGCCGTCCCCGGGCGTGCAGCGCAGCTTCAGCCGCAGCCCCACCAGCGCGTTGGACGGCGTGAAGACGCGCTCGCCGCCCTCCGGCTCCCGCTCCTCTTCCCAGGCCGGGCCCTCCCCGCCGCCCTCCGCCCGCCGCTCGCGGTACCAGCGGAACAGGCAGTGCTGCGGGGCGGCGAACTCGGCGCTCACCTTGGGGCACACGGGGAAGCCGGCCAGCAGCGAGCGCGGCAGCCGCAGCTCGGTGAGCGCGGGCGGGTTGCGCTCCACGCGGTACCGCGCGGCCCCGACCTGCAACACGGCGCCGTCCTGCCAGGCCGCCGCGTTCGGCACCTCCTCGGACACCGCCCGCCCGTCTCGGGAGAAGAGCCGCACCTCCGGCAGCTCGGCCTCGCCCGCCTCGCCGTCCTCCGCCCGCGGCTTCTTGCTCTTCTTGCCCGCCTTGGCGCGGCCCTTCGCGGCGTTGGTGGCGATGCGGGCCAGCGCCCGGCCCAGCGGCTCCGCCTGGTCCCGCTGCATGTGGCGCGCGCTGCCGTCGGGGAGCACGAGCTGCAGGCTCAGCTTGGGCTCGGACGGCACGCAGCGCACCACGGCGCGCTCCGCGGGCTCCATAACGGCGGGAGGAGCCCCGCCGCCTCCCAGGCGGCTCAGCCAGCCGAGGGCAGCGCGCAGCCCGCGCCACATGGAGCCGGCGCGCGGCGCTTCCGGCAGGAGCGGCCGGAAGTGAGCGGCCGGCACGGCCTCGCGCCGGAGGGCGGTGCTGCCAACGGCCGCAGCTCGTGCCCGCCCCGGGGCGGGAATGCGCCGCCTCTCAGGTGCGGCGTTGCGCGCGTGGGCGGCGCCGCCGCTCTGGTAGCCGTTGTCTTTGTGGTGGCCGCCGCCCGTCTCACGCTGCGTTCCGTGCCTTTAGCACGGAGCTGCCTTCTTTTCAGGACTGAAACCCTCGGGAGAGCTCTTCGCGTCCCCGTAATGTCTGGAAAGGGTGTCGGTTCTGCACGTCAGGTACAGAAAGGGGCGAGCTGCCTGTGCGCGCCTTCTGCCCCGGGTACCTGGGCTTCGTGCTCGTTTTCCGCTCGTTCAAAACCGTGCCGGGCTACTGAATCACAGCACAAAACCGTTCCGGTGATTCTAAAGCGGCCCCGAAGCTCTGCCGCTGTCCTTATGCCTCAGCCCCTCAGGTCCGTAGGCAGGACGCGGAGTCTCGCTGAGCGCGGCAGGCAGGCGGGGAGCCTGGCGGGAATTGCTGCCGGGCTCAGCTCGCTCCCTGCCGCCGTGTCGCTCAGCACCGAGGCGGGACGTCGCTCCGCATTCCCCCTTCTAGAAGTGCTGAAATGCAGTTCGAGTTTGTGCGTGGCGTTTCCGAGGGAACGGCCCAGCTGAGCCCTGCTGCGCTCCCCAGCACCGCGCGGTTACGTCTGCAGAGCCCGCGGCGTTGTGCTGCTTTTTACACTGTTCCTTAGCCTTCCATGTGTGCTGCGTAACTTCTGAGGTACTCTGCGGATAGACGATAGCTTTAATCCTTTTCTTCCCTGAGAAATACGAAGGGAAAAATACACTCTGCCTGTCTTTCAGCAGTTTCAGACCTCCCGTTGTATGCCTCTGGGTTAGCTTCGTGCTTCCATTTGCTTCTTTCCCATCAGGACTCTGCATCCTGCAGTGAAGCCGCGGGAACAGCAATGCTGTCTCAGGCTCTATCAGAGCAGGAGCTGAGATCCGAGTTACGGAGCAGCCAGATGCCCCACTCAGATGGAGCACCTTCTAATCAAAACACTTTGAGAAGTTGGTTTCTTCCCGTTGTTTTGCCTTCTGCGGTTGTATCAGATATGTCACCATTACAGAATAAACTGCTGACGTACCGAAGATGCAAAGAACAGCAAAGAATGCTTAATCAGTTACTGTGAGTAAAATGTTGAGTGGTGAAGTTCAAGAAATGTTGAAGTTCAAATGAAAGAAACATTGCACTTTTGACAACTGAGAAATAACACTGGTGTCTGTTCATTTCAGAGGTATTTTTGTCACTATTGCAATGCTGAATTTTTTTCCATCCAAAACCGTTAATAGTAGAAGAGTATTTGTTGAAATATTCAGTGAGCACCAATGTCTGGATCACTTTCTTTCGTATGAATAATCCAAACATGGGTCTACTTCTAAAAGGCTTCTTTGTCACTAATCTGAATACATTTGCACATGAACTTGGTGGTCAGTGTTATTGCCTAAGGAACACAGCTGCCAGGTTGATAAATATGTAGGTTGGTCCAAAAGTAATGCCTCCCATTTATTCCCACAGTTTTAGAAGTTCCACTCCATACTTTGTTTATTTATTTTCACAATACAGTTGGACAACATCTGTTGTAGTTGTTTGAGGAAAAGTACATATAATCCCAACAGGAGCACTGGGCAGTTGGTGAGATCAATTAAGATACATATGTATGTATGTTCTGACTGTGGTTAGGACAAATGTTGTTCTTTTTATCACGGAAAACAGAATCTGCAAGGAGTGCTTCGCTTTTTAGTGATCAAACATGAAAAAATAGGTTACATCAGTTAAGATCATCTCATTATTTTTAATGTAGTATTTTTATTATATGTGCACTTCTGACTGCACATTTTACTTTAGAATTGATCGAGCTTTAGAAGTCTATTCTGAGTCCATGGAGGAAAAATATCACAGAGGTCCTGCACCTCCAGTCCCAGAACTACCTGCCAGTGTAAGTGTGTATTTCTTTAATATTGTCACTACTGCTTATTTTGTGCTTTATTATTGGGACACCCATGCTTTTATTCTTAATATTCACTTAAGGATACTTGTGTCCGTTCTAAATAATTCATATATGCATTTATATTCTCAAGTAGTCCCACTGAATTTGATGCTAATATATATACTGATACAAGTCTATTTTCTTAATGTACTGATTCATTAGGAGGTCTTTCTTTTCTTTATACAGATGAACAGTGAACAAAAGCAACAACGAGTGAGTTAAATTCTTTGTTCTGCATTTTGAGAGTAGAATAGTGAATGATATCTCTGTTCAGAGGAACAGTAGTCTAGGGTGGGGAAAATGGGACAGGAAGCAAAAGTGGTAATCCTTTCTTGTGGTCCAGTAGAAGGAAAGTATTCTGTTAGAGAAGGAATGTGTACGTCCACTGATATCTGAAGTTTTAATCAGAACCTTCCTTGAAGACCATTACTTACCAAATATTCTAAGAGGCTCCAGATTTTTTTTCAGTTGAGGTCGTAGATCATGCTGTAGCCTTTACAGAAATAGTTTTTAACATTATTCACCTGATTTCAACAGGGAACTGTAGTGTACAAATACTGGTATAATTTTGAAATTGTACTGTGTATGATTTTTAAAATAATATATCTATGAAAGCCACCTTCAACCTAAATCAGCACTGAAATGCTTGTGTTAAGCAGACTGCTTTTTGTTGCTGATGCTGGGTAAACACATTCTGAGGACTATAGTGATCCAGCTCTCTTTTCTGCTTTATAACAAATGCATCACTTGGAGGCATAAATAAAACTAAAACAAATCCATCTGTTTGCACTTAATCTTTGCTAGATGGTTTGTCAAATGAACAATAGTGTGAACAATAGTGTAAATGATTTATTGTTAATTGTAGCTTTTATCAGAGAAGCAAGTGAAATGACTGAAAAGTTCAGTGCTTTGTGTTTGAGCATTGAGACCATTCTATAAACTTTAGTAGCATTTAGTGTGCTAGTCAGTGAATATGTAACAGATATGATCGTATTCCCTGCCCTTACTTATAAAAAATGGTAATAAAAAGAGACTTCACTGTGAAGCCTAATGAAAGAAATCCTTACGCAGTTCGTTATTGGAGCTCTGATATGACTGTCCTTTCAGACCAACTATCTCTTTATGAAGAAGTGTGTGCACAGTAATCCAGTGGTTCCCATTCAGCAGCAGTGGCTGATGTCCATGCTCACCCTGGTGCCACAGTCACTCATGGAAGGCAAAGACAGAGAGCTGTTAATGGAAAAGCTTTTAGGGGAGATAATAAGGGATTTTGAAAAGAGTATGAAAAGATGCATGGGTGAGTACTGCAAACTACCCAGTACTGTCATCAGTGTGTGTTTAAGATGTAACAACTTTCATTGCCTGCATATATGTAATACGTATAAGCTATAATATGATATATTATATTGCATTACATTATATATGTAACAACATTTATAAATAATGTAATATGTAGCATAATATTTAATAATATATTTTTCAGCTTCTGGAATAGCAGCTTTATTGAACTGTTCTACAGTTATATCTACAAGCATATCCACAGTTTTATTGATGCTTTCTCTATTGAGTGAGGTCCCAGGACAAATCTGCAGAGATAATTAACTATTTTCAGAGATCACTTGTACAACTCACTTGAAATTTTAAACTTTCAGAAAAGATTAATAAGTTCCAATTTTACAAGTGTACTTCTTTGAAATCCTGTGCTATCTTTACTTATTTACATATATTGTATCTGAAAACTAATGTTTAACCACTTGGATAGTAGTTTAGTGAAAAACGATCTTGTTAAGAACACGTTAAAGAAAATAAACAATTTACACTGTGACTAACTTCTTAATATCATTAGCAGTATAGTTATAGTACACCATTGTATTTATACTGAACAGAATTGCCATTAATTCTCTTAATCATTTAAATACTACCTTTGTGATTAGGGGCAAAGTGATTGGAATTGAGACCTGATTCTCTATGGGTATTTAACAAAAGCTGTGATTTTGAGTTGCTGTTGGGGAAATGTGTTTTTTTGGGGGTGGTTTATTTTTTTGTGTGTGGGTTTTTTTACCTGTTGTTATTTGTTTATTGTGTTTGAAGGCTTGGATGATACAGTTCCCTTTTCATCTCACTGTGTGTGTGATCCAGCTTGGAGAACAACTTAGGCAGAACATAGTGCCTATTGAACATACTCATACATTTCTGGTTTGGTTTTTCCTAGTGCGAACTGTTCTTATTAAGCCCAATGTGAAAGGACTTGAAGATGAAGAGGAGGCACCTCTGCCTTTATCACCATTGTGAGTGGATTAAATTAGCACATAACCCAGAGGCAAAGCACACAGTTGCACCTGAGATACTCTAACTGAGCTGCACAAGCAGAGTTGCAGTGTAATATTACTTTCAGAGGCCCTTAATGAAACAGATCTTCTGTCTGAAAGTCTGAATTACAGAGTTTTAGCGCTGATTATGTTCTATTGCTTTTCCTACAGTTACATAGGGTAGCACCAGTGATTACAAAGGAGACTTTTAGCTCTGAATGCCAGGGGCACTTGAGTGGTATTGAGCTGTCTTTTCAATGAAGTGAGTCTGTGTGGGACACTTCACTGTCAGGCAGCAGCGCTGTGCAGTAGTTTAACACACTGAAACTGCACCCTGTGGTGTTCTGTTGTGAAACCTTTGACATCAAATGGAAAAAATACTATTCTCTGCAAAACGGAACAGGAAGTCAGGTAGACAGAATACAGTTGTACAATTTCTGGAACATTAGAATGTCTGCCATCTAGATATTGATGATAAATACTTCCTGTTTGCAGTTGTTGAAGTTAGAAGTTTACACAGATAAAGGTTTAGGAGAAGCAGATGATTTGATATAGATAAGACAGATTATCTTCCGCTGCTTAATACTGGAGATATGTTTATGGCACTTAAATAAAATTCCTACTGTTTATCTG